ATTGTTAGATTGATTGGATACAGAAGTAATTATTGGTAGATTCGATCAACCATTTAACGAAAACAAGCGATTGCTCTTAATATAGTGGGCTGCATGCAATGATCTGTTGTACTTTTAACAATCTCTAAATGTGTTAATTGTACATTAAACTACTTTAAAAATAACAACTAGTTACACCCTTATACAAATTAACTGAAACAACCGCTTTAGTTTCCTTTCTTTCAGCATAGGTCAATTTTAGACCCATTGGAGTGACATGGTGCAATCGATTTCTATTTTCCCTTCAGATTAGGTCATTTGCAGTGGTGTTCACTAATATGAATCTATTTTGGGGATGTATGATGAAATTTGTTTGGCTTTGATAATATTGTGTCATCCGTGATTGCATCAGATTTTCATCACGCCCAGACACTATTGTCTCGAATGTCGATTAGTTGTCCTACGGTCATTGTCTGCGATGGACGTTACTCCGAGGAAGCGTCCGAAAATTGTAACACAGCACGGACACACTGACAAGCCTTAACGGTGAACAGATCAAAGTACTATAGATTGGCTCGGAAACTCTCCTGATTTAAATCCAATCGAAAATCTGTGGTCATTCAGCAAGAAACGACTTCGTGGAAGTGACATACTGAGTACTAACATATTCAATGGGTTATGTTTCATTGGGAAAATACGAAAGCGGTGAATAATTAAGGAATTATTCGTTTTGTTTCAATTAATTTGCACAAAGGTGTACTTAAAAAATAACTAAAAAAATAAATTGTAACTATATTTACATTTGGTATACACTGTCAGAAATATGTGCAGTATATGTACATTGTAATCACTAAGTAAGGTAATAGTCATTTCCTCCTCAAAATTTTAATCGTATCCTTATTTCCGTATGTAATTTTGAAAATTTTATTTAATCGAAATTAACTGATAGCATTGTCGCTGCCTGTACTCCCCTATCTTCTGCCAACTGATAATTTTCGACACTGTCTGTTAATCATTGTGAAAAAAAATCCACAACTAACCGTAAGATTTGCAATAATAGGCTTTACCCTAGAACTCTGGACCTGATGCGTTGTCAGGTGCTTTGAAAGTAGTTGTCTAGGCAGGTTTCTTTACCAGGGCTAAAAATTTCGGTCTGCTGACCTTTAACCTTAGTCTCATAGCCAGTGATAAACCTATGTCTTACCCGAAGGCAATGGTGCGAACGAACGTCGGCAGGAATTTGAGCTCTTTTCCCATAACTATGTCCTCGATCGCACCTCTTAATCCGTGAGGATTGAGCTCTCTGCACGAACGAAAGATTTGGGCATAGTGAGGTCAACAGAGATAGGAAAGGCAGCGAGTTTACTAAATGAAGAGCCTGTGTGAACTGATCACGGAATGGGGTGCGAGAGCCTTGGCAAAAAGAGAAAGAAACAAGGGATAGGAAGTTTTGGAGAGCCATGCCTGGCCATGTCCTGGACCGACGAGGCACGTAGAAGAGGCGTAATCTGATACTGGATATATATTGATTATGTTTCTGCTTGCTTTTATTTTTCGGTGGCGACCCATTCTCCAAAGGGGACGCAATCATGGTATACTATTTTTTAAATCATGAAATATTATCATGTCTTATTCCAAATGGTCTTTCTTTAATGATCCGTACCCCTTCAGAATGTGGGTGATAATAGCTCTCCACAATTTCCTTTCTTTTGTTGCTCTAAATAACGTTTGACTCTACAATCTTCTTTTTCTCCGTCTTGTCTCAAATCCATCAAGTCGGTTACCCGCTTTTTTCCTTTTTTTTTCTGTTTCCTGTGAGTGTTTGATTCTCTAGGCCATTTTCCTCATTATGTGTCAGGGAACACTTTCTCATTTTAATTATAAGCTACTTTACAGTTCTTGTTTTTCTTTAAAACCTCCTCGTTGCTCACATATTTTGTCCACGTTATTCTCCAGTATTCTTATTTATTTAGTTAGTTGTTTGTTTTACCAGCTATATCAACCCTTTGGGTTATTTAATGCTGAAGAATTTGTTTGGTTTTTGTTTAATGCTTGTTGATCTTTTATGAGTTTATTGTTTTCGAGATATAGGTAAAGGTGTTGGGATTTAGTCCATGGTGATTATATGCTATCTTCTTTGCCAACTATATTTTGTTATACAGTATTTACATTAGTCGGACTATTGTTCTCATCTTTGTCGCCATATTTGTCACAACGTTTCGGCCGTTGTACGCTCCGGCCTTCTTCAGGTGGTTGGAATTTCGAACTGAACCCTTTATTTCGATCACTGGGGTAGACTGTTCAAGTTCCACGTGCCATGTTTAATGGATGTCAGTTATCAGATATCTCCTGCTAATTTTCCCACTGAAAGTTCTCCACTGCCTTAACCAGGTATTGAACTCGCCTTCTTTGGGTCTATCACTGGATCTAACCAACGCCTTTATCCACTGTACCATGTGTCCTTAAGGATATTTTGTTATATAATTCTGTTGCTTTTAGAAATTCTAAAAGGTCATTTAGGTCAGTTTTGTTGAAGATGTCTTTCAGAATGTTTTCTTGATAGAATCTTAATCGTATTTGTTCAAGATCTATGAAGCTTGTTAGTACATGTTTTCACTGTGTAGAGCTCCTGGCATGGAATGCAAATTGGGGCTTCTTCACCCTTCAGCAGGTGTGAATGGGTGACAGCGCTGTGGCCAATTTGAAGTCTACTCATTACTACTTCTCTTCTTGACATTTTCCTGTTGAAAATTTTAGCTTCTATCCGTTCTTTGAGGATGGGTTTGATTTCGTAGAGTTTGTTTTTTTTGCAGGACTCTTGCCATTTGGTCGTAATGAGGTCGTTGATTGGGGGTTTATAATCTGTATGGGGTACCTAAATGTCACTGATGTTGACGTTTAATGATCTTTTAGCAGCTGTATCTGCGTTTTGTCTCCGCTGAGACCAATGTGGCTGGGAATCCAGCAGAAAATAATGTTTTTGTTTTGAGTGATGAGATTGATTCTTTGTAGGAGATTAATGATCAGAGGGTTATTTAGATTTTTGCTTTTTAGTGCCATTAGCACTGATAATGAATCTGAAAATATTATATATTTGTTAAGGTTAAGTTCGAGGGTGAGGTCTGAAGCTAAGTTTATGGCTGTAGCTTCAGCATTGAAAATTGAGGTATTGTCTGGTAGGCGTTCCTGGGTATGACGATAAACTACATCCGGCAGCAAGGCCTCTGATCACTTCATTGCTGTTGTCTCTAGATCCACACTGATCCATGGTGGTAACACCTGTTAGGGACCCAGCTTTTTTTTTTTTTTTTTTGTTTTTTGTTTTTTCGGTGCTGACCCATTCCTCAAAGGGGACGTAATCATGGTATACTGTTTTTTTTTTTAAATCATGAGGTATTATCATGTTTTATTCCAAATGCTCTTTATTTAATGATCTGTATCCCTTCAGAATGTGGGTAATAATAGCCCTCCACAATTTCCTTGTTGCCAATCGTATTTCAACTCCAGTTATTTGCTTAAATCCATCTAACTCTAACATAATTATGGAACGCTGACGCACAACAAACATAGCTATATACGTTTATGGATCACTTCAGAATACGTTCAGCCATGGCTCTCCACAGCTTCGTCTTCTGTAGCTCTAAGTAACTTTTAACTCTTTTTCTCGTCCATTTTCGCCTTGACCATTCATAAAATCCCGTTAAGAAGATTACTCGCCGTTTTACCCGGTCTTTCTTGCCTTCACCATGTCATGTGAGTATTACATTTACTAAGACTTCTTTCCTCATATGTCCACAGAATTTCAATGTTTTTCTTTCTGATTGTAAGTATCTGTTTTTTTTTTTGTTTTTTTTTTTATTTACAGTTTCTGTTTTTCCTTAAAACTTAAAAGTTGCTCCCATGTTTTTTTGGGGCCTTGCGAAACTGTTTACTGGATGATTTTTGCTAACCATCGAGCTACGGTAGTTGCCCAATTCCTGGACAGTGCATCTGGAATAAGTGCAGAATAAAATCATAAGTCAATTGAAGCTAGAATTTGGTAACTCCTAGAAGTTCACTTCGATGGGGAAAAACTGAAATCGGGTAATATAGCGCTTCTCAAACTTTTTCATTCCATGAATGATTTTTTTCTTCAAAAAAATTCAAATGGACCACTCCTACTTTTACTTTTAGGCTGTTCAATTTTCACATTAAAATACTCAATGAAAAAACAAAGTAGTTTATTTACACTTTAAAAATTATTTTAGCAAACAAATTAGTAATTTATTTTAGTAAAATGTATATTATATATAGTATACATTTTCTATATGAATAAAAATTTTATATCATGTATAGTATATATGTTATTTTATATATATATATATATGTATACATATTTTTAAACTACAATCTTCAATGAATCTCTCACGTACATTCATATCTGCTCAAAGCGTATCCAAATGTAAACAAATGACGTCACACATTATGAAATAGACAAAGCCCGACAATTATTTTAAGACATTTTTTATGTTTATAAATTCTTTTTATAGATACAAATATTTAAGTAAATGTTTTAAAATAAACAGTATTAAATAACACTTACCAGTCTGAATGTCCCAGAAATTTTCATAAAAAATATGCGCCCACCGAGAGGAATCGAACCTGTATCCTATACGGAACCGTCATATAGCCTGACTTGCCTTAACCGATTGAGCCACAGATGATCGTTACTGCCTTTAAACTATATGACGGATATGACAGTTCCGTATGGGATGCAGGTTCGATTCCTGTCGGAGGACGAATATATACACACACACATACATATATATATATATATATATATATATATATATATATGATAAAAATATAACACTGCATAATACGTACATAATTTCGAAATTTTCAAATATAATGGATATGTGTGAAATTAAACAAAATATTATATCTTTTTAATTCTTCAAATTATTAATAATTTAGCTACGTTTTTGTGAAATAGATACCTTTTTATGGCTACGAATTCACAGTGAACCACTAGAAATGCTATGTGGAACACCAGTGGTCCACCTGCTCCACGTTGGGAATCTCTGGGTTAATAGACTACATATAATGGTAGCCTTGGAAGAAAGGAACGTAATTCTGTGTATGGAGGATTCTTTCTTAACAATTGTCCCGATTCTATGCCCAAAATTATCTGTAATAATGTGTCTCTCTTTCTACCTATGTTGACACAAGACATGTTCATAGAAGCAACTAATAGTTTTTAACCCAAGTTTTCGTTGAGGAAAACTAGTAATTGTAGCCTTCTCTTCAAATTATACTTTTCTTCTTTGTTCTTCTACATGTTGTGTATTTTTCCCAGATTCTTTTGGTGGACATTTAGAACTTCAGAGAGGCATTCTTTTCTTGAAAACTAATCTCATGGCTTTCTAGAACAGTTTTCGCCTTGCGATGTGGCATTTTGGTTTATGCTAGGACATTTCTCACTCTTAGAATGCTTTCGATTTCTTTTTCGTCTCTATTCAGTGCTTAATTCTTCTACTTTTTATATAGTTCATTATTCCATTGTTCTTGCCGATTCCATTGAGCTCTGCGGGGAAATCCTAACAATCGTTTCTCATTTTTTTGTCTTTTTTTTTTTTGTCTTTCTCTTTTGCTTCGTTTATATCGGAGCTTTTTGTTCGTTCTTTCTGTTTGATTTCTCGTTGATGTATTTTTCTTCTCATTCGACGTATATTTTCCTTTTTTTTTTTCACCTTCCCAAGCAACTTTTCTTGTTTTTCCTCAATCTGTTTACATCCATCTCATAGTCTTTTTTTTTTCATGCTTTGTGCCTGTCATTATATGAAAGGGCAGTTTGATTACGATCTCAGTTCTTTTTGTTGGTTTTTCGTGTCTTTTTTTTTTTTTAATTCTCTATTGCTTATTATTATGTAATATTTAACCGATTGTCCCTTTTATCTAAGTCTTTCTCTCTCTTTCGTTATCTTTTTCTTTTCCTTCTCTTTTTGGTCTTATTTCTTTTCTTTTTTCTTTTCCCTTAGATTCTTTTCTTCTGTTCTTTTCTTTTTATTCATTTCTGTCTCTTTTTTTCTTCTTTTTCTTCTTTTTTTCTTCTTTTTTCTTCTTTTTTTTCTTCTTTTTTTTTCTTCTTTTTTTTCTTTTTTTTCCTTCTTTTTCTTTTTTTTTTCTTATTTTTCTGCCTTATTCTGACTTTCTTTTCCTCTCATTTTTTTTCTTCCTTTTTCATTCTTCTATTCTGGTTTCTTTTTCGTTGTCTTCCTTTTTCTTTCTTGGCTTTTTACCATTTTCTAAATCTGCCAATCTCTTTCTCCTATTCTCTTATTCTCTTCTTTTATTTCTTTCTCCCTTCTTCTCTTTTATTCTTTCTTTCTTTCTTTCTTTTCCTAGTATTCTTGGTTCGGATCCATGCTTACTTTTCTTCTTCTATTGTCATTATTTTTAAAGGTTCGTTTTCTTTGTTCCTCAATCGCTTCTCTCTTTCCTTCTCTCTATCTCCCCCGCCCTCTCTTTATGAGTCTTATTCGCTCTTTCCTCGTTTCGTTTTATGAAGTTCTTTTATCCTTAATCTCATGTTACTTTTTCTTTCTCTTCATTTTGAATCATTGTTTTGATTCATTAATCAATTCTCCTCTCTTTCACCCCCCTCTCTCTTTCTCTCTTCACCTCTTTCTCTCTCTATTTTCTCTCTCTTTGTCAGTTTCCATTTCATTCTGTTCATTACTTTTCTTTCCCTCTCAGTTTGATTCGCTTCACTCTCTTTTTCTCTACCCATTATCCCCTACTCAAATTTCAACCCAGCCACACCCGTTCATAATACACCCACACCCAGATATAGAGTGGGCAGCCAACTTCTTTTTACCGTCCGTGATGTGGTCTGCTCCTCATTCGTCCTTCCATCGCGATCTGTGGCCTCTTCACTACCGACAATCCGCCTGGCGTATTCTGGAGCACACAATTAGTTAATTGAACGAATACGGTGTATTGGGTCATGCATTTTCTGGGCGGGCAGAAGAGAGAAAAGATGAGTAGGAAGTGGTAGAGAGAAAATTGACTGTGGTCACGTGGAGAAGGTCATGGTCGCAACTGATGGCAGGAATGAAATATACGAGAAAGAACTGACTGGCGGCGGTGTTAGTGAGGAAAGCAGTTAAAAGGAAAGTGAGAGAGAAAAGGAAAGGAGCGTGGAAAGAGTAAAATAGGAGGGAGGGGGTTCCATATAAAGAAGGTTGTGAAAAGGTGGCGGGTGGATATGGAGGAAAGGAAAAGAGGAAGGGGTGCATAGAAAGGAATAAATGCAAGAGAAAAAGGGATAAACTATGTAAAATGGAAGAGGGAGAAAAGAAGAAGGTGTTGTAATAGAAAAGGACGAATAAAAGAGAATAGAAGAATGAAAAAAAAAACAGGAAGAATACTAAACGAAAGGATGAAAAAAAAGAAGGAAAAAAGGTAAGTAAAGAAAGAAGACAAAATAAGGGGGAGAAAAAAAGAAGAGAATAAAAAGAAAGAACCGAAAAAAGAACCTAGTAAAAAAGTAATAATAAGTGAACAAGAAAGCAGACATGTTTATAATAAAAGACAAGAGTTGAAATTTGAAAAGATTTACATCAAAAAAGGGGAAAAATAACGAATGAGATGAAAAAAGAAGAGAAAAATGCAATAAGATAATACGTACATATATATATATATATATATATATATATATATATATATATATATATATATATATATATATATATATATATATATATATAAAAATGGATTTTTCATTTAATAATCCGACATATCTTGATTTATTGTCGAACAGTGATTTTAATGGATTCCCATATTTGAGTAGATATTTTTACTCATTTATTAAAGTGTATGTGTATTTATTTCCATCTCTGGCCTGAATATTCCATAAATCTCGTTAGAATAAAAATATGCACCTTCCTGCAGGATTCGAACCGGTGTCTCCTGATCAAAGAAAGTCTGTATAGTTCTTTTGAACACAGATTGTTCCAGGTTCTCGAAATATACTTATCTGCTCAGTTTTGTATCGCATCATAAGCAAAGATTTCTTTAAGATTCAGTCCGGTAGGCGTAAATAAATAAATAAATACGCTGTTTAATAAATTAATAAAAACACAGCATCTACTCAAATATGAGTATCTATTAAAAATAACGTAAACAATTATATAATATATATATATATATATATATATATATATATATATTATATATATAAACGTATATTTATTTTTTACTGTTTGATAAAATTATAAAACAGAGCATCTACTCAAATATATATATATATGTATGTACATAAATTTATATATATATATATATATATATATATATATATATATGTGTGTGTGTGTGTGTGTGTGTGTGTGTGTGTGTGTGATTTCAGGCATTACTGTAAATCAGTTTGGCAAATGTTTTCCGTGAACTGCAAAATCGTATTACCATTTGTATTGCTAATGATGGAGGACATGTTGAAATTTAAATAAAATTTAAATAAAACTTTAAAATTTATAGGTTTCTTTCTTTCTAATCCTTTTTACAAATTATTTCTATCGCAAATACAAATAAAGTTATAAATTTTTTTTTTAATGTGAACCTGAACTTATGGACATCCTCTCTCTCTCTCTCTCTCTCTCTCTATATCTATATATATATATATATATATATATATATATATATATATATATATATCCATATGAAATAACGAATCGAATATCAAATTTAGAGGACCATGACATTCATTTAAAATACGGGTTAATACAGTCCAATAATAGAGCAATATTCTTTATTACAGGATATTACATTCAAACATATAGAAACATCGCAATGCACTCATGTTTCCATGTGTAGGAACGCATTTCATCAGGTTTTAGAAAATGACTGATTATTACCATTATTAAGATTTAATTACAAACAATCTCATTTCCCGCGGAAAAAAAAGAAAGAAAAGAAAAAGAGCAAGAAAGAAAGACACAAGATATAATATACTTTCCTTATAGATTTCCTTTTTCCCTTCTTACTTTTCTCTGGAAAAGAAATTATACCTTCTGTCTTTCTTTCTTGCTCTTTTTCTTTTCTTTCTTCTTTTTTTCCGCGGGAAAAGAGGCTGTATGTAAGGAAATCCTAATAATTTTAATAAGCAGTCATTTACTAACACCTGATGAGAAATGTTGATACACATCGAAACATGAGTGCATCTATGTAGCGTTCTTTCTACATGTTTGAATGTGATATCCTATAATAAAGTATATATTTATTATAATTACAACCTTATTGTCAGTGGATACCTATATTTGACTAGACGCTCAATTTATTTAATAATTAAACAGGTGTATTTATTTATTTTCGTCTATCGGCCTGAATAAACGAGAAATCATATGAAAGAAAAAAACATTATTTAACTTGGCTTGATCATCAACGTGGACGAGACGGTCCAAAGAACACCGGATTTAACGACAGTTTCTCCTGACAAGAGAGATGCAGGTTCGAATCCTGTCGGTGATTTAATAAGATTTTCGGTTATTCAGGACAAGAGAGAAAAATAAATAAATATACTGTTTAAAAAATAAACAGAGCGTCGACTCAAATATGATTATATTGTAACGTTGTTACGGAATGAGGAATAACTAAAACGGAGGTTGGAAATGAAATGGTAACATCAACAAAATACAATACTCGCCAGCGGAAGGTATATATATATATATATATATATATATACCTTCCTTTTTCATATATAATGAATTACTCAGAATATATATAAATTATATATATATATATATATATATATAATGATTTACCAAGTAACTGATCTAGCATATATATATATATTAACCTTTACACTACGTCGAAGGGGCCGTAAAAGTGATTTTCTAAGCATAGCAAAGATACGATACAAGACTCAATGAGGATCGTAAAAGTGATTTTCTCACTAGCAAAGATACGATACAAGACTCAATATATATATATATATATATATATATATATATATATATAGAGAGAGAGAGAGAGAGAGAGAGAGAACAGTAAGATATATATATAGATTTATAAAACGTATTCTAACCTGAACATCTTTAAGTATACAAATAGGAAAAAATGCCGTAAGAATTTTTGCCGTTAACAATAAATTAAAAAAAAATCCAGACGACATGCATTTAACGGATGTCAGAATTCATTGAAAAATACCATCCCTACCCCTACCAGAACGTAACTAATAACTGATACATCAAAATGCAGCGATCATGAACACGCAAACACCCCTTGTCTAGATGAATGGGTTACTCTGTATCCTTGGAAACGTGAATTATGTTTTTTTGCTTTGCCTTTAAAACCCAGTAATGTTAAAAGTTACTCCAAAATTCGCTTGAGGGTGAAATGGAACTAATTTCTTTAATTTAATTACAAAATTAAATTCGAAGCTTTTAGCTTCCATTTTTGAAACATGGTTAGAACTGTGTAGAAAAAAAAAACATTTTAAATCAATTAATTTATAATCTATATATATATATATATATATATATATATATATATATATATATATATACAAGTAGATGAGTAAAAGGGACAGAAAGGCATAAACTATGAAAATCTGAAAAAGGAAAACATAGAGGAAAACAATAGCGAGGAAAAATATTAGAAAAAAGAAAATGGCGGAAGATGTAAAACGGAAGAAAAGTGATTTTTTTTTTGTTTTTAAGTGACTAAAACAGAGATAATGGACGTTGAGAGAATATGATATAACAGACAAAAATAGAAGAAAAAGAAAAAAAATCCTAAAGAAAAAAATTAGAATTCGGAAGAAAGCTTTTTAAGAAGAATAAGTTTTTAATACAAAATAAAAAGGAAGAATTTTATGTAAGAAAATTTTTTAGAGACACTTTAAATATTTTGGAGAAAAAAGATCCGAAGAAGAAAGAAAAAAAAAGATTTGAAGAATTCAAACTGATATATTCTAGAAAAAAATAAGCGGGGAACGAAAAAATAGAAAAAAAATCAAGAAAAGGAAAAAGAAAAAGAAAAAAAAGCGAGTTACGATATGTAGAAAGTATGAGAACAGACCAGATAGGAATAAAGCATAGCTGAGAAGAAATGTTATATATAGTTATTAAGCTTAGGTTTGTAAGACTCAAGACCGAATTACGTGCGGAAAGGAGGTGAAAAAGATTGTGTTACGTCATTCTTTCAAGGGACAGACCCTGGTTTCTTTTTAAATAGGTATTAGAAAATTCAGGCTTCTACCTGGGTTAGAACCCTGACCTATGACATCCATGTGAAATTGACGACCACCTACTTAACTTGAGAAAGCGTTATAAGAGTCATGGCCGACAAGAGAAAGAATACGATCAAGGAGTAAGGAATGGAATGAAAAAAAGAATGAAAAGATGACACATAAAGAAGAAAGGATAACGAAAAAGGAAAGAAAAAAAAAAGGAAAATGATAATTTAGTAATGTTTCCATCCTTGGAAAAGTATGGAAAAAAAAAGAAAGAAAGACATGAGTTAGAGAAGGAAAATAGAGCCAAATGAAAGTTAGAAATTTCAAGATGAAAAACAAAAGGATGAGGAGGAACAGATTAGACGGTGAGGCAGACGAAACTACAAAGGGACAGCGACTAGAAAAGCTATAAAAGAAAGAAAAATGAAATGTCTTACTCTATAAAGATTATTAGGGAAAACCAATCCGGAAATAAAAGCGTAAAACGATGATAAAGAGAGATGATAAGAAAAAAAAAAAAAAAAAAAAAGCGTAAAGAAAGGAGAAAAAGAAAGGAGAAAAGAAGGCGAAAGAAGACCGGTGGAGGGATGGGGAGTATGCAACAACGGGGGTAGGGAGCTAACAAAAACGAAAGGGTGGAAATGGGTTTTAAAAAAAAAAAGAAAGAAGAAATACAGAGACGCGGAATTAGAGGGCTGTAAAGGGTGGGGGCGTAAATGGCACGGATTGTAAAAGAATTCGCCTGGCTGCCCAATCACGTCTTCCACCCTTTATCGAACTGACATGACCACAGTCGAATAAGCGGCAGCCGCAGCCTTGTCGGAGGCGGTAACGACAGCGAGAGAACACTGCTGTGGCCGGCTTCCGTTTCTCCCGCCTTTTCCCTCTCTTCTTCCCACTGCCATAACACTACGCATGCGTGAACAAACCAACAATTTCAAATATGGGCGCATGCGTAGGCTCGCATACCCACTTTTATCGATGAAGTCATTCTTGAAACAAGAGCGAATCAGCGATGATGATGTTGTTAATAATAATAATAATAATAATAATAATAGTAGTAGTAGTAATAATAGTAACTATTATTACTAACAGTTTATGCAACTGGTTTATATTATTGGTAGGAATTATTTAAAAACCTAAAAACTTTCATTCACTCTGATGTGTACATATATGTCAGATAGGATTTATTTTTAAAAAGACTGATTTTTTTCTAGTAATCACTTGAATAGTGACGCAACAAAATAGCTTGGTGCGATAAAGAGAGAATTAGAATTGTAATTTAGAGAGTTGATTGCGATTGAACGAAGTATATATAATTACCTTCAGAGATTATGTATAATTCACAGATTATACATAAGGATTATGTCATCACTATTATTTGACTTTACTGTCATTTGCCTTTTTAAAATTTCTGATTTCTTTTAATGGCAGAGGATGTCTTCATATCGAAATCCTGAATTTTGCAATATTTAACCCTAAATTCGTTTAGGCATATTTCGTGATTCAATCCGTACTTTGTACATACAGACGAAGTTAAAAAAAATTGTAAAGTATTGTCGATGACTAAGAATTAATTTACTACTTACTAAAAACCGTCCTGGGTAAGACGATAAATTACATCCGCGTCCTGGGTAAGACGATAAGCTACATCCGCGTCCTGGGTAAGACGATAAACTACGTCCAACAGCAAGGCCTCTGATCAGAAGGTTTTGAGGAGCATGGAACCACCTCTTAATTGCTGGTGTTCCCAGGTCCACCCTGACCCAGGGTGGTAGCACCTGTTAGGGTAAATAGTTAACATCCAAACTTGTGTAAAAATAGGTTTTAATACCAGAAATACTTTATAATAAAAAAAAATTATTACCAACAATAATTTTTGAAGGAAAAATTATCAACCAAGTGAGAAATTAAAAAAAAAAAAACTTTTTACGAAAATAAACCATCCAAGATTGTAAATTTCTTAAAAGAAGTTGGATTGTACTAAAAAATATGAGTAATTGAAAAATAATTCAAATATATATGTATAGTGATTTTCCAAGCATAGTTTGGATGAGGCAAAAGGCCGAAAGTAAGGGACACCCAGTGAGGATCGAACTCACTACTCATTCGTAATTGTTCTAGCGAGACAAGCTTGCTAACCATTACACCACATCGAGGTGCCCAATTTTTCTAAGCGTAGCTTAGATGTGATCAAGGTCGAAAATGGGGTACTCAGTGAGGATCGAACTCACTATTCAGTCGTAACTGTTTTAGCGAGACAAGCTTGCTAACCATTACAACAGGCCGAGGTGCCCCATATATATATATATGTATACATACACACCTTTTTTCACCAAACTATCGCTATGAATCTATTTCAAAAATTTTGTTGGCAAATTGAATGACCCACTGAGGTTGATATGCCATGAAACAAAACAACAACCACACAACTTACTAACAAAATTTTATTTCCAATATAAATGTTTGATTTATTTATTGATTCGTTTTTTTTTTTTCAAGTTATTTAGAGCCAGAAAATAAATATTTAATATTACAAGTTCTTCTAATTAATCCATAGCTAGGGGAGAAGAGGTGGATTCATAGATTTTTCACTGTTATCTGATGGTAGTGAATACAACGAGACTAACTGGAATTGGTAGTCGTTTCCTCGAGTCGTTATTCATTACACATTCACGCACCCAAACATACAGCGCCTTATATTCCTTTTGTAACGTATGGTGGCCGTTAATAATTAAGTATACCTCAAGACTCCAATGTTAAAATAAAACAGTATTTAATTACAACCACAAATAAATAATTAACCAGAACAAAAAGCAAAAAGTCAACCAAATATAATTAACCATTTCAGTGAATACCTTGTTAGTAGCTCGGCTCGGTTTAACGTCTGATAAATCCTAAATCAAACCCAAATCATCACACTAATTCGACTGGATAGTTCCACTCAATAATCACTCAATAATCACTTCAGTCAGCAGCCTGACACCGCTGTTTATACACCTTGTGGAAAACATATATCCATTAAGTCCAGAGTGACCTCATTTTCTTCCTATATGACACTTCCCAAGCGGACACCCATCTAAGTACTGACCAAGGTCGACATTGTTTTACTTCAGTTATCGTTCGAGAACCAGTGTTTCAACGGGATACGACTGTCAGCCAGAATGAATGCATTATAATAGCAAAGCATTGAAATTAATAAAGAGATACTTGATATGAAATGTCAATATTATACTGAATAAATTGCTACGTCTGCTGCTAGGAAATTTGATGCAGTGTCGTTTTAGACAATGTTTCTCGCTAGAATCTATCTTACACTTTTAGTCTACTATTCGCCCATGTTTTGAATATTGCTACCACATCTGGTCTGGTGTTTCTGCTTTGTATTTAGAGATTTTTGATGAACTACAAAGAAGAATCTACAACATTACCGGTCCTGACCTGTCATCTCGGCCTCAGTCCCTTTCTCACCGCCGTAACGTAGCTTCCCTGTGCCCTTTTCCATGCATAGATTCATAGTAATTATTCTGAGGAGCTTTCCACTTCGGTGCCTTGGCTTTACGAATGTGCTCGATTGGCCGTTAGCTCTCATCATTTTACAGCTGAAATGTAGCCGTAGGTTCTATGCTAATTGCATATTCTTTCGAAATATTCGCTTATGGTGTATTGCTGTTCAGAAATGTAAATGCAATGTTAATCGTTATCTTCTGTCTTCTTAATTCCTGTTCCTTTGTTTTTTACTCTCCTTAATAAAGATTTTCTTTTTTACATATTTTTTTACACTCAATAGCCAGCTTACGTCTTAGTGGCTTTATTGCCTTGTCTGGTATGAAATCATTAAAAATACATTGACGTAACAGGATCTTCACATCCTTTCCGCACGTAATTAGGTCTTGAGTTCTACAAAGCTAAGATTAGTAACTGTATATAACATTTCTTAATCCCCATTTTACCGGATAGATATAAAAAAAATATTTGTATCTATTAGCTGCTTTTAATTGGATGAAGCTTCTGTTAGCTATTACCTCTCATCATGTCCCTGCAAATTTCATCGCTTTTTCCGCGTTCACAATCCTAACTATACCGATTTTCACAAATGCTGCAGCTGGAAGGTTTAATTCATTGTTATGCACTTTTATGGCCACACTAGGGGTTTTCGCTGAAAGCTGAGTAAAATCTGGTTTACTCAAGTCCTCAGTATTCTCAAAGACCTCAACTACGCCTGACCCTTTCCACGAATTTCTAATCTTAATTCTAGAGACGTTATACATATTTTTTTCGCGCGCTTCCAAATGCTCCTCTAATTCTAGCTACACACTGACATTTCTATAACATTGTTTTCAGTATAATGGAGGTATTTTTCTAGTTTCTTAATGACTATCACATTTACTACATCGTACACTGGGACAGCGACGTTCATGATTTAGGAGGTCTTTTTAAAGAAAAAGAAATTGAACATAGAATAGGCAGTGCCAGAGGTAGTTGCGCACAAAACTTCAACCTGAAAACTCGAGTTATCCTCTTAAATAGCCTCGTCATGGTACTCGGCCATTTGCCCGATGGATGTAATGGCGTACTTACATGTATGTCACACCCTTTATCGTAATGGGCTACATATATTTATATTTATTTACTGGATTAATTTATAATTTTCGTTGTTTTTGTCAGTCTTTTTAAAAATCTATTCTGTATATATATATATATATATATATATATATATATATATCTTACTTATTATAAAACGCAGATTGTGTGTCTGTACGTTTATATATTGGATCGGATTTCCTACATTTTTCAACTGATTTCAACAAAACTTCACAGGACTGAGTAAAATTACCTTGCGGTGGTTCTGACAGCGCCAAAAATTGGAAAAACACAATTGTTTTTGCACGAAACCAATTTGAAAGGGGGACAACTCATATCAAGTTATACTTATTATAAAACCCAGGTTGTTTGTGTGTGTGTGTGTGTGTGTGTGTGTGTGTCTATGTGTGTGTGTGTGTTCGTTTATATATGGGATCGGATTTCCTACATTTTTCAACCGATTTCAACAAAACTTCACTTTTTTTGGCACGTAGTGTTTCTTATTGTCTTGCACACTTTTTCCTTTATTTTTACATTCAGAATGCTTTAAAAACTCCATTTACAAGACAATTGTTTATAATAAAATTCTATTCAATCGATAGACTCATAATGATTGAAAACAATGTTTTTGTTTGAGTTTTCGTAAAACAAAAAAAACAAAAAACTGATTAAGACATGCGTGTCCGTCAGCCTTAAACAATAATCTTTGTCAATTTTATTTTTCAGTCTTTATGATGGTCGATACTTGATCTATCTCTTACTGTTACATCCCCGGGCAACGCTGGGCTCTACTGCTAGTATATATATATATATATATATATATATATATATATTCTGTATATAGTATATTCTTTATATATTATATTTTACTTCCAATATTACTGTAAGATGATAAGTATTTTGAGAAAAATCTTTTACAGTATGAAAGATTTTTCAATGTCTCGTTTAATGATCATTATCTTAAAGGGATGAACTAGCTTTTATATTGTTGTTAAATACGAATTTAAATAATTAAGTGCTACTTTTTACTGAAATATTTTTAAAAAATACCAATGTCAATAAACAAATATTGAAATAAGAAACCTTTAAATTTTAGATTTAGTAATTTAATCACTTGAAATTCAGTGTTAATTATTAGTCCTATTCTACCTTATAATACTGCTAATTAAAATACTTGATGTATTGTTTGTTACTAAATTTACTTGTACATTTTCAGTGAAATATCCGTTCGGCCACATATTTCTCGGCCAAATGTCCGTCGGAAAAATGTCTGTCCGCCAAATGTCCAGCCATCGTCGTCATATCGAGACTTCCAAACGGG